CGCGCCGGGGCCGCGCCGCCGGGCTCGGCCCCGGCCCGCAGCACCCTCTGGAACTCGGAGAACTCGTCCAGGATGCCGGCCACGTCCCCGCGCGGCTCCGGCGGGGCGTGCTCGTACCGCAGCCTGCCCAGGCGCAAGGCAGCCCCGGCGTGCCGGCTCCCGGCCCGGCATCGGCCTCTCCTGCTGGCCCAAGCGTCCCTGTGGGAGCGGAGCCCGTCCGGCCACGCGCCCGAGGTGGGAATTGTCACCCGCAAGGGGCTCCTGCTGCGCGGGGACAGCGGGATGGGGGCGTGGCGGGGAGGAAAGTTCGTTGGGAAGATGCTTTTGGAGGTAGAAAAGGGGGGTTTGCCGTTCCTTAGGATTTCTTTTAGCTTATAATGGAAGCGGAGACACTCCATGTCCAAAGTGTTCTGGGTGATTTCCTCAAAGCCCCTCCAGGTTCCCATCAGGGAGCGGGCCAGGTGAGACTCCCGGGCACGGCGGCTGCGCCTCCTGGGAAGCTGGAAATGTTCCATCCTCTCCTGGCACTGCCTGGTGACCACAAAGTTCCCGTAATCCCTGGGGGTGTCCCAGTCCCAGGCCTCCCCACGCTCCTCTGTGTGCACGGAGCTCCTGGAGGAGCTGTCCCAGGTAGTCCTTGCTCCTGCAGCATCCGTGGATCTCATGATGCAGGAACTCCTGCTTGGAAGAGGGGAGCGAGAATTCCCCTCAAAATATTCCTGGTCTGAGTCACCAAAGGAATTCTCCAGTGGCTCTTCAAAGGCCAAGCCCTCACGTGTGTCTTGGCTTGGGAGCTGCTCTTCCCTTGAGAGCAGATCCGAAATATCCTCAGCATCACTGAACTCCAGACGCTCTCCAGAGAGTTCCCTGGGCTCGTCCCACGGGATGGGAGAAGCTGGAATTTCTCCCCGTCCCACCTCGGCGCCGGCACTGTCGGGATCGGGGATGTGCTCACACACATCCCAGGGCTCGCACAGGGGACACTCCCAGGCTGGGAAAGGTGCAGGACTGGGAATGCTGCCTCCTTCCAGGTCCTCTGGCAGGAAGGGCTCCTCCCTGGGGCTCCCTCCGGCATCCCCTGCCTGGCTCCGGGGGCTACCACGGCTACCATAGCTCCTGGGGCTGCCATGGCTCCTGGGGCTGCCATGGCTTCTGGGGCTGCCACCATTCATGGGGCTGCCTTGGCTTCTGGGGCTGCCACAGCTCCTGGGGCTGCCACAGCTCCTGGGGCTGCCATGGCTCCTGGGGCTGCCACAGCTCCTGGGGCTGCCATGGCTCCTGGGGCTGCCATGGCTCCTAGGGCTACCACTGCTCATGGGGATACCATGGCTCCTCGGGCTGCCATGGCTCCTGGGGCTGCCACAGCTCCTGGGGCTGCCCCAGCTCCTGGGGCTGCCACAGCTCCTGGGACTGCACCTGCTCATGGGGATACCATGGCTCCCTGGGCTGCCATGGCTCCTGGGGCTACCATGGCTCCTGGGGCTGCCATGGCTCCTAGGACTACCATCACTCCTGGGGCTACCATGGCTACCATAGCTTCTGGGGCTACCACTGCACCTGGGGCTGCCACGGCAGCCAGGGCTGCCATGGCTCCTGGGGCTGCTCCCAGGGCTGCCACGGATCCCGGGGCTGCCACAGCTCCTGGGGCTCCTCCCGGGGCTGCCATGGCTCCTGGGGCTCCTCCCAGGGCTGCCATGGATCCCGGGGCTGCCACAGCTCCTGGGGCTCCTCCCGGGGCTGCCACAGCTCCTGGGGCTCCTCCCGGGGCTGCCATGGCTCCTGGGGCTCCTCCCGGGGCTGCCATGGCTCCCGGCCCACCAGGCACTGTCTGGAGAGTCAGGGAGCATCCCGGGGAGCGTCTCAGGGAGCGGCGAGCCCGGCTCCGCAGGCTCCGGATCGTCCCACGGATCGCGCGGAGAAGGAGGAACAGATCCCGGCTCCGCTGGCGCATCCATGGGGGAGCAGGGAGCTGGGGACTCCAGCAGCTCTTGGGAACAGCTGGGATGGAAGGAGCCATCCAGGCTCCAGGCAGCCACGCTCACCTGCGTGGCTCCTCCTTCCCGGCACGGCTTCCAGAGGCGGCACAGCACCGACTCCCGCCGGCCCGGCACGGCGGGAATGCCGGGGTTGGAGTCTCCGGCGCCAGGAGAAGCAGGAGCTGAGTCCCCGTGGAGGTTTGGGAAGCTCTGCTGCTGCCTGGGGAGCTCCTGTATGGCTGAGATGCCCTCCCTGATGGAGGAGGAGGGCTCTGATTCCAGGAGGTGATGGTGGAGAGGCATCTCCGCCATCTCCACGTTCGTGGTGTCATTCCCAGGGGAATTCTCTGTCCCAGGGAACACATCCTCGCTCTCCTCAGCTCTGCAGTCATCTCCTCTGTCTGTGTACTCAAAGGGGGAGTCCCGGCCATCTCCCGCTCCCATGGGATCATCCAGCTCCTCCGTGTCATTGGCAGAGGGGCTCCCCTGCTGTTCCTCCACCAAAATCCCATTCCTGCCTTGGTTTGACTCCTCAGCATCCAGGGAATTTGGGTCGGGATCGATGTCATCCCCACCCAGCTGGGAGAAGCAGCTGCTCCGTCCCAGGTCGCTCTGGGACGGGGACTGGACGCTCTCCACGGGCTGATCCTCCGGAGCAGCCCACGGATCCACGGAGCCGTCGGGAGAGGTCAGGCAGACGGAGCTGGAGTCGGGGGACAGGGCCAGGCTCACTCCCTGTCTGCAGGGGGACCCCGTGCTCCCAGCAGGCTCCCAGTGTTCCCCAGACGGAGCCTGATCCTGGTTTTTGTGCCCGGAGCCGTTTCCCAGTGTGTCTCTGGCAGGTCCCGGGCTGTCTGTAACGCTGTCGGGCTGTGCCCCACGGACAGGGCTGAGCTCTGGGGGGACTGGCAGCTCCCCGCTGTCACTGTGGGGTGACCCCACCTCGGCCGGACTGGCCACTCCAATCCCGTCTGTCTCCGACTCCGGCGTGCCCGGAGCGTCCCAGGGATCCGGGAGCTCCTCCTGGTTTGGTGACATCTCCTCAGGAAAGCCTCCAGGGTCAGTCCCGGCCCCATCTGAGGGCGCTGGGGAGGATCTGTCGGGGCAGGAGGGTGCCAGGGAGGTGGGGCTGGGCAGGGGAGCCTCTTCAGGAACACCAAACTGCTCTGGAGACGCCGAATTCCCTGGATTCCTGTCACCGTGCTCGCATTCCATCTCGGCATCGCTGCTCTCGGACAGCACCAAACCCACGGGGCCCATGAAGGAGCTTTCATCCTCCAACTCCTCGTTCTCCTTCTTCTCCTCCTCCACCTCCCTCTCCTCTTTTTCCGAGTGCTCCGAGGGCTCCTGGCATTCCTCCCCTTCCTCAGTGGCCCCCCCAGGCTCTGCATTTCCAGGAGTTGCTTCCAAGGGCACGGAATCACAGGCAGGCTGCGGATCAGCGCCATCCTCAACTTCCAGGGAATGCCCAGAGGCTCCAATTCCCTCCTCATCCTCGGGAGGGCCGGGGCCACTCCCTGAGCCTGCTCCCTGCTGGTTTTCCTGCTGCTGCTCCCCGTTTTCCTGAGGTGCACAGGGGGGGTCTGTCCATGGAGCTGTGCTGGAGTTTGGGGCTTGGCTCCCGGGGTTTTCCATGCCCGGCGCATCCGGGGATTTGCTGGGACAGCCGAGCTCCTGGGGAGGGCTGGGGGTGATCCTGGCATCCAGCAGGTCCTCCTTGGCTGCCTCCTCCTGGAACACAATCCACAGGTTAACAAGAAGAAAACATTCCTCATAGGAAAATGCAGGAAAAAAAAAAAAACCACTGGAATATTTTTTCCTTCACGCAAAACAGTTCCAGCCCTACGGAAGCTGCTCCTCTGTTCAAGTTTTAAAGGAATTACTTTAATTTGAGAATTCAGTTGGGAAACATCTCAGCAGAGCCCTGTGTTTTATGTTTACCCCAAGAACCTCCACTCCTGACCACGTGCAGACTGGAGAAAATGTAAAAATTAATTTCAAGCTTTATCCAGAATGGAATTTTCATGGATTTCACTGGAGGGATGAGGGGAATGATGCAAAGCACTGCACTGGCACACGTGTGGGGGAAAATCTCCTGAGCCAACAAATCCCAGCTTTCCAAACCCACGTGGGAATGGCTGTGCTGGATTTGGGATTCTGCTCTGGGATGCTGGGGGCTCAGCTGAGGACACACAAACTCGGAATTTAAATCAGGAACAGGCGCTGAGCTCGACACTTTAATTACTTTAAACTGGGATTCCTCCCTTTTGGTGAGCATCCCTGCTTCCCTGGATACCCCACAAGCACAGCTGCTCCATTCTTCTGGAAAATCCTGCTGCTCTAAGAGGAAAATCCTTGTCTTCTAAGAGGAAAATCCTGCTCCTACAGGAAAAATTCTGCTCCTCTAAGAGGAAAATCCTTCTCTTTTAAGAGGAAAATCCTGCTCCTTTAAAAGGAACATCCTGCTCTTTTAGGAGAAAAATCCTGCTCTTTCAGGAGGAAAATCCTGCTCTTTTAAGAGGAAAATCCTGCTCCTCTAAGAGTAAAATCCTGCTCCCCTAAGAGAAGAATTCTGCTCTTTTAAGAGGAAACTCCTGCTCCTCCAGGAAGAAATTCCAGCTCTTAAGAGATGAAAATCCTCCTCCCCTAAGAGCAAAATCCTGCTCTTCTAGGAGGAAATCCTACTCTTTTCAGAGGAAAATCCTGCTCTTTTAGGAGGAAAATCCTGCTCTTTCAGGAGGAAAATGTTCCTTGGAGCCCCCCAAGGCCGCACTCACCGCGGTGACGCTCGAGACGTCGCGCGCGCTCTCCTCGGGAACGCCCTCCGGCTCCCCGCCTGCCACATCCAGCTTTTCCCTGGAATGATCCTGCAGGGAAAGGCTCTCGGGACAGCTGGTGGAGGAAGGCTCCTCCTCCTCCCCGCAGGGCAGCTCCCCAGAGGAGGAGGACACCGTGCTGTCCACAGCTCCAGCAGCTCCGTCCGCGTCCGTCTGGGAATCCGCTGGGCTCTTCTCGGGCTGGGAAGCGCCCTGGGAAGGGGTGCTGGGATCCAGGGAGCTGCTGGGAGTCTGGTCAGGATCCGAGCCGGAGTCTGCAGGACACGTCTCAAAGCCAAAGCAGTCCTGGCTGTCGTCGCTGAGCTCCAGGAAGCCACCGGAGCTGTTGATGGAGACGAATTTCCTGGGATTGCTGTGCTCCACCACCTTCCTGGAGCTGCTCAGGAGCTTGCTGGGCTTCCTGTAGAACAGAGCCACCCACATGTGCAGGATCAGCTTCATCCCTTCCACATCGTCGGGAAGATCGGGATCCCAGGGCCTGGGAAGGGAAGAAAAGAGAGTCTGGACCATCCTCATCCTCGCCCGTTCAGCTCCAGGGAATTCATCCCTGGAGTTCATCCCTGAGAGCTCATCCCTGGAGTTCACCACTGGAGTTCATCCCTGGAGTTCATCCCTGAGAGCCTGGAGTTCACCACTGGAGTTCATTCCTGAAATTCATCCCTGAGAATTCACCCCTGGAGTCAATCCCTGAAATTCATCCCTGAAGTTCATCCCTGAGAATTCATCCTTGGAGTTCACTCCTGAAATTAATCCCTAAAATTCATTCCTGGAGTTCATCCCTGGCTCCCTTCAGGGCTCAGCCCCAAGGCAGAGGGGCACACAGTGCTTGAAGCAGATTCCAGTTTTCTTTAGGAAAAAATAAAAATAGAGGAAATCTGAGCTCCGAAGGAGGGATGGAGGACTTGGCCTCGTGGTTTTAGGTACCAATTCCAACTGCAGAGCCAGGGGAATTGCAGCTCTGCAGGTGGGGTCTCACCTGGGAAGGCCAGAATTCCCCAATTCCCCCTTTTCCTGCTGCCCACACCGTGGATCACCACAGGATGGGGTGGAATTTTGGGTCCAGCACACGAGGCTGGGTCACATCCACTTTGCCCCTCAGCACCACCCCCTAAACCCAAACCACACCAACGCAGGGAACAAACCCCACAATTATGGAAACCAAAGGGTTAAAAGCACACAAACCCCATTCCCAAACTCCTCCAGCCATCCCCAGGCCGACTTACCCATGCAGGGCACGGATGACAGTTTTCTCCAGGGAATCATTGGTGTACCTGCTGTCCAGGTGGAAGAGATATTCCTCTTCCCAACGGCACGTGACCTTCATGGAATTCCCACAGAGATTCACCGTGTGGCTCTTGGAGAAATCCTCCTTTTTCCTGGGAGAGCTCAGGCTCCGGGCGGGCTTGGCGGCGCTGCTCTGCTGGTGCCGGAAGGGCAGCACCTTCCCGACCAAGGGAGCTCCTGGAGGGTTCCTGGGGGCAGCACTGGGATTCCCTTTGGGATCTGGGGATGCTTTGGGATCGTCGGGCATGGGGGAGGCGTAGGAGTGCTCGGCTGAGATGATGGAGTGCTTGTTCGCATCGCAGGCTTGCGGAGCTTGGCGGGGAGGGAGCACCTGGAATACGGCGGGGATGGGAATCCCGCTGCTCCTGCTGAAAATTCCAGAGGGTTTTTCCCTGGGAGGAGAGGCCAGCTGGCTGGAATCTGTTTCTTCAGGAAGTGACACTTTGTTGGAGGTGCATTTTTTGCCCTGCTTGTCCGCCCTGTGGTATTTGTGGTCGGAATCCACGCGCAGGGATTTGGGGTCGGACGGGCTCTGCTGCTCCCAGGAATCCCCAGATTCCTTGGGAATCTCCCAGGAATTCCCAGAATCCTTGGGAATAAAGGCAGGAATGCAAGAGCCCAGGGCCAGGTCAGCCAGCAGGTTCAGGGCGTGGGAGTCACTGTTGTCCCCTGGCAGGGCAAAGGCAACGCTGGGAATTGCCATGGGATGAACATTCCTTGAGATTTCTGCTCCGGGGGGTTGGGATGAGGCTTCGCTGGGGAGCTCCGACAGCAGCTCCTTCCACTCTGGGGGGAAACAGGGAAAAAATCCATTTAGAAAGGGAAAAATCAATTTAAAAAGGGAAAAAATCCATTTTTGGACTGGGGTTTTTTACAGCCAAACTGGCTTTTTTTGGGATTTTTTTGGGTTTGGCAGGAGCCATCCCATGGGAGAAGCTGGATGCACTCTGGGTGCTCCAAAGGCAGTGAGGGAATGTTGGATCATGGAATGCTGGAAGGGAATTCAAGGACCATCCCATTCAAACCCCATGCCTCATCCCATTAGCGTGTGAGACACAAAAGTGGGTTGTTTTTTTTTTACAGCCAAACTGGCTTTTTTTGGGATTTTTTTGGGTTTGTCTCACCTGGGAAGGCCAGAATTCCCCAATTCCCCCTTTTCCTGCTGCCCACACCGTGGATCACCACAGGATGGGGTGGAATTTTGGGTCCAGCACACGAGGCTGGGTCACATCCACTTTGCCCCTCAGCACCACCCCCTAAACCCAAACCACACCAACGCAGGGAACAAACCCCACAATTATGGAAACCAAAGGGTTAAAAGCACACAAACCCCATTCCCAAACTCCTCCAGCCATCCCCAGGCCGACTTACCCATGCAGGGCACGGATGACAGTTTTCTCCAGGGAATCATTGGTGTACCTGCTGTCCAGGTGGAAGAGATATTCCTCTTCCCAACGGCACGTGACCTTCATGGAATTCCCACAGAGATTCACCGTGTGGCTCTTGGAGAAATCCTCCTTTTTCCTGGGAGAGCTCAGGCTCCGGGCGGGCTTGGCGGCGCTGCTCTGCTGGTGCCGGAAGGGCAGCACCTTCCCGACCAAGGGAGCTCCTGGAGGGTTCCTGGGGGCAGCACTGGGATTCCCTTTGGGATCTGGGGATGCTTTGGGATCGTCGGGCATGGGGGAGGCGTAGGAGTGCTCGGCTGAGATGATGGAGTGCTTGTTCGCATCGCAGGCTTGCGGAGCTTGGCGGGGAGGGAGCACCTGGAATACGGCGGGGATGGGAATCCCGCTGCTCCTGCTGAAAATTCCAGAGGGTTTTTCCCTGGGAGGAGAGGCCAGCTGGCTGGAATCTGTTTCTTCAGGAAGTGACACTTTGTTGGAGGTGCATTTTTTGCCCTGCTTGTCCGCCCTGTGGTATTTGTGGTCGGAATCCACGCGCAGGGATTTGGGGTCGGACGGGCTCTGCTGCTCCCAGGAATCCCCAGATTCCTTGGGAATCTCCCAGGAATTCCCAGAATCCTTGGGAATAAAGGCAGGAATGCAAGAGCCCAGGGCCAGGTCAGCCAGCAGGTTCAGGGCGTGGGAGTCACTGTTGTCCCCTGGCAGGGCAAAGGCAACGCTGGGAATTGCCATGGGATGAACATTCCTTGAGATTTCTGCTCCGGGGGGTTGGGATGAGGCTTCGCTGGGGAGCTCCGACAGCAGCTCCTTCCACTCTGGGGGGAAACAGGGAAAAAATCCATTTAGAAAGGGAAAAATCAATTTAAAAAGGGAAAAAATCCATTTTTGGACTGGGGTTTTTTACAGCCAAACTGGCTTTTTTTGGGATTTTTTTGGGTTTGGCAGGAGCCATCCCATGGGAGAAGCTGGATGCACTCTGGGTGCTCCAAAGGCAGTGAGGGAATGTGGGATCATGGAATGCTGGAAGGGAATTCAAGGATCATCCCATTCAAACCCCATGCCTCATCCCATTAGCGTGTGAGACACAAAAGTGGGGGTTTTTTTTTACAGCCAAACTGGCTTTTTTTGGGATTTCTGTGATTTTCTGGGGTTTGGCAGGAGCCATCCCATGGGAGAAGCTGGATGCACTCTGGGTGCTCCAAAGGCAGTGAGGGAATGTTGGATCATGGAATGCTGGAAGGGAATTTAGGGATCACACCATTCCAACCCCAGTGCTCATCCCATTATCAAATGAGACACAAAACTGGGGGGTTTTTTACAGCCAAACTGGCTTTCTTTGGGATTTTTTTGGGTTTGGCAGGAGCCATCCCGTGGGAGAAGCTGGATGCACTGTGGGTGCTCTAAAGGCAACAAGGGAATGCTGGATCATGGAATGCTGGAAGGGAATTTAGAGATCATCCCAGTCCAACCCCATGGCTCATCCCAGTGGCCTTGGACACTTCAGGGATTCAGGAGGATTCTCTGGGAACTCCATCCCAGAATTTCTCCCCAATATTTGACACTTTCCCTGTTTCAACCCAAAGCCATTTGTTTCATCCCTGCCATTGGATGGCTCAGCTTTTAAAGGAATTTTTTCCCAAGGGAATTTTTTCTCACCACTCCATTCCTGCTGCTTCTCTGGAGGTTTTGATGCTTTGTTTTCCACGTTTTTCTGCATTTTGCTTTTCCCTGGCTTTGTGCCACTCTCAGTGACAGGAACCTTCTTTGAGTCCAGGTTTTCCACAGTTTTTGGCCTCTTTGCCTCCACGCCAGGACCATTGGGAGCTGAGCTTTCCTTCTCAGCACTTTCACACTGGGGTTTGTGGACAATTTCTGCAGCCAGGACCTCTGCACCTGGGACAGGGGAAAAGGAGGGGTTGATTTTAATTTGGGAATTCTTTGGGTTAAAAATTCATTGGGAAAAGGGAGGGATGGCGGGGAAGGGGTTTTGGTGATTTTACTTCTCATTATCCTGATTTAACTGGGAATATAATTAATTTATTCCCAATTAAATCAGGATAATGAGAAGTAAAATCTGACCTGGAAGCAAAGGAAGGGACCTGGAAGCACCCAATTTCAGGTAGCTTCCCTGGGATAATTCCTGAGATTTGGATGCTCCAGGCACCTGGAAAAGTTCCTGGATGGTTCCCAGTGAGCCCTGAGCATCCCAGCTGGATGGGAGGAGGAAACCAACCCCATTTTTCCAGCACTCACCTCTTTTCCTTCCATGTGGCAACTGCAAATTGGCCAATTTCAGCATGGGCTCGTTGGAATTTCCAGTAGATCCTGATTTTTTGGGACAAGAGGAAGCCACGTTGGTTTTTTTCTTGGCTGCCTCCCTGCTCCTGCTGTTGTTCTCCTCAGGATGTGTTTGTGCCTTGAGGGGTGGCACGCTCTTCCCAAGGATCCTGCTGGATTTCCTCCTGATCTCCCTGCCCCAGGGCTTGGTGGGAGAGGTGACACTTTTAGGGAATCTCTCCGGGGCAGGAGCGGGAAGCTCTCCCTTATCCCGCATTATTCCCGCTGCTCTGGTGGGAAGAGCAGGATCTGGGGGCACTGAGGAGGAGGAGGAATTCCCAGGATCAGCTCCCAGATTCCTGCCAGCCCCACTGAGACACTGCAAAGCTGCTGAGACTCCCAGGGTGAAGCTGCTGGGGTCGGAGAGGTAACGGCGCAGCTGGGCCAGGGATCGCTCCGAGAGTTTCTGGGAAGGGTCAGCACCCCCGTCCTGCCACGGAGAGGGGACAGGAGCCACGGGAATGTCACTGCTCTGCCCAGGGGTGCCCTCAGAGTTTTCCTGGAGTTTTGCATATTCCTGGAGGTGCTCCCGGATGCTGGGGCTGCCCGCGGCATTGCAGGAGGAAGCGGCTGCTTTCCGTAAGGCGTAGCGGAGTCCCGGCAAAACGGAGGCGATTTTTAGGGAGATGGCACTCCTGGCACTGCCCCCCTGCCTCTCCTTTGGCTCCTGCTTTTCCACTGGGAAGGGAAAACCAAAATGGCTTTTAATCCAGTTAGCAAAGGAGTGAATTCACTAAACCATTTCCCTGGTGTCGGGAAACGTTGGAGGGAAGGGGAAGAACGGAAAGGAAAAGGGAAAGGAGAAGGAAAATTAAAAGGGAAAAAAGGAAATATTGAAGTAAAAAGCACCAAAAATCAGCCTGCAAAAAGCTCAGCCCTGGGGAAAAGTCCAAATCCTTTGGATGGATCCCACCAAACATCCCAAACCTGCTCCAGGTGGATCCCACCAAACACCCCAAACCTGCTCCAGGTGGATCCCACCAAACATCCCAAACCTGCTCCACATGGATCCCACCAAACATCCCAAACCTGCTCCACATGGATCCCACCAAACATCCAACACCTGCTCCACGTGGATCCTACCAAACACCCCAAACCTGCTCCACGTGGATCCCACCAAACATCCCAAACCTGCTCAGGATGGATCCCACCAAACATCCCAAACCTGCTCAGGATGGATCCCACCAAACATCCCAAACCTGCTCAGGATGGATCCCACCAAACATCCCAAACCTGCTCAGGATGGATCCCACCAAACATCCCAAACCTGCTCCACGTGGATCCCACCAAACACCCCAATTTTGGGCAGAAATTCCAGCTTTGCAGAGCACTGGGCCCTTTGAGCCAGGAGTCCAGCCCAGCGCAGAGCCTGGGGCAGCACGGGGGGCTCCTACCTCGGGGGCTCAGCGCCCGGGGGGAGCGGAACAGGAACAGGGCCAGCAGGCTGACGGGCTCCTTGGGCTCCAGGCCTGCAGAAAACAGGGCTGGGGTCACAAACCAGGCTTAGTCTGAGAAACCAGGCTTAGTCTGAGAAAACAGGCTTAGTCTGAGAAACCAGGCTTAGTCTGAGAAACCAGGCTTAGTCTGAGAAAACAGGTTTAGTCTGAGAAAACAGGCTTAGTCTGAGAAACCAGGCTTAGTCTGAGAAACCAGGCTTAGTCTGAGAAAACAGGTTTGGGTTTCGAAACCACATATAGACTGAGAAACCAGGTTTCGTTTCAGAAACCTAATTTTTGTTGAGAAACCAGGTTTGGGTTCAGAAACCAGGTTTAGTTTAAAAAAACAGGTTCAGTTTGAGAAACCAGGTTTAGATTGAGAAACCAGGTTTAGATTGAGAAACCAGGTTTAGATTGAGAAACCAGGTTTAGACTGAGAAAACAGGTTTTAAATAAGAAACCAGGATTTGGTTAAGAAACCACGTTCAGTTTGAGAAACCAAGTTTTGGTTAAGGAACCAAGTTTAGTTTGAGAAACCAGGTTTAGATTAAAAAAACAGGTTCAGTTTGAGAAACCAGGCTCAGTTTAGCCTCCAAAACCCAGCAGGAACTAAGCCCAGCCCAGCCTGGCCTTACCATCCTCCCGTGCCAAGGCTGAGGACGTGAGCAGGATGAGAACTCCTTGGTCCTGTAAATATTTGATGATTGCCTGTAACAAACAGAGAAAAAAAAAAAATCAAACTCTGCTCCTTCCCTGCCTCTTGTGCCAGCTGGGATCAAAATATTCCTTGTTCAGGCCTAAAATTCCTTAAAAAAAAGTCCTGATCAAGCTGGCTGGAATTAATGAAGATTAGTAATCTATCTCTGTCAGGAATTGCAGCCCAAAGGGGAAGGTTTTCCCAGCATCCTGGAAAAGACAAAATTCCAGAATCCTGGAAAACAGAAAACTCCAGCAATCTGGGAAAACACAGAATTCCAGCATCCCAGGGAAACACAAAATTCCAACAATCTGGGAAAAGACAAAATTCCAACAGCCTGGGAAATGACAAAATTCCAGTACCCTGGGAAAAGACAAAATTCCAGCATCCTGGAAAACACCAAATTCCAGCCACCACCTGGCTGGAGCTCAGCTGCATTTTGGCAGCATCAATGAATCTTTGGAAAAAAAAAATTAGCTGAGTGTAAAAAAGTCCTGGAATTGTGTCCCAGATTTCCAGGAGCAGAGGGATAAAGAGATAAAAATCAGCTTTTCCTTGTGTTTGCTGCCTTGGATTGCCTCTCCTTTTCCAAACTTGGATCTTTCTTCCATTTTTTTCAGGAATCTTCCAGGAACTGGATAAACCTGGAAGTTCCCTGATCCCATTCCATGCACTCAGGATTGGATTGGTGCCCACTCCTCCAGGAAAACACAAGAATTTTGGGAATTCTGGGCAATCCCAGGGAAATATTCAGGATTCAGCAGAGCAGCTCCTCCTCTGGGTGCTCAAGGCAGAGAGGAGAAGGGGTCAGAGGCAGGAATTCCAAAGGAATCCTGGGAATGCTCAGCTCCAGAAGTAATTCCCAGCTTGTGGCATTAATCTTCAGGTGAGAAACAGAAAGAATAAATGAGAGCAACAAAACAGGAAAATAACATTTAAAGCAGGGTGATTAATTCCATTTTGCATTAATTGTGGATAATAACACCAAAAATGTCATTTAAAGGCCACTTTCCTCCCAGGAAAACACTCACCAAATCCTTCTCCTTCAGCTTTTCCACCAGCTGATCCATTCTGGATTGATCCTTATTGGATATTTCCACCTCGTAGAGACTGGAGTAAACACCCTGAAAGCAGACTGGGGGGTAAAAAAAAAAAGATTTGGGGTTGGGGTGGTGATTTTCCATGGATTCTGTCCCAGCAGGGTGGAGGTGGAATTGCTGGGAGCACTGGAAATTGGGATATTTCACACCCACCTTCATTCCTAGTGTAATTTTTTTTCCCAAATGCAGCTTCTGGCAGTTTTTTCTTCAAGTCAGACAATCCCATGACGTGTTTGATGTCCAGGCTGCGAGGCCTGAAGGGATAAAGCACAGAAATTTCAGGATTAAGGAGAGCTGGGAGTTCTGTGGAGGAAAAAAAAAAAAAAAAAAACTCTGGAAAAGGTGCAGCTTGCTCAGGATCCTGTGTGCAAATCCTGAAAATCCTCAAATCACAGATCCTGGGGTGTTTAAAGCCAGGACTGGAGCAATCTGGTTTAGTGGCAGGTGTCAGAACTGAATTCTTTTAAAGCATTTCATCTCCTCACCCAGCTGGGACCCAACACCGCATTCCTGACTGTCCCAACATCCCAGCAGCAAAGGGCTGAGGCAGGAAGAGACAAAACCTGGCTTAGTTTGAGAAGCCAGGCTTAGCTTGAGAAACCAGGTTTAGCTTGAGAAGCCAGTTAAAGTTAAAAAACCAAGCTTAGTTTAAGAAACCAGGTTCAGTTTGAGAAACCAGGATTTGGTTAAGGAACAAGGTTCAGTCTGAGAAAGCAGGCTCAGTGTGCTAAGCCCAGCTCAGTGTGGCTCAGGTATATAAGCCTGGCTCAGTGTGCTAAGCCCAGCTCAGTGTAACACCCCAGGCCCAGCGTGCTAAGCCTGGCTCAGTCCCACTCACAGCTGGGAGGGCACGCTGCCTGCGCTGTGCTAAGCCTGACCCAGTGTGCTAAGCCCAGCTCAGCCCCACTCACAGCTGGGCAGGCACGCTGCCTGCGCTGTGCTAAGCCCGACTCAGGGTGCTAAGCCTGGCTCACTGTGCTAAGCCCAGCCCAGGCACACTCACAGCTGGGCGGGCACGCTGCCCGCACTGTGCTAAACCCGGCTCACTGTGCTAAGCCTGGCTCACTGTGCTAAGCCCCACTCACAGCTGGGCGGGCACGCTGCCCGCACTGTGCTAAGCCTGGCTCACTGTGCTAAGCCCGGCTCACTGTGCTAAGCCCTCCTCACTGTGCTAAGCCCTGCTCACTGTGCTAAGCCCGGCTCACTGTCCTAAGCCCAGCCCAGCCCCACTCACAGCTGGGCGGGCACGCTGCCCGCGCTGTGCTAAGCCCGGCTCACTGTGCTAAGCCCGGCTCACTGTGCTAAGCCCGGCTCACTGTGCTAAGCCCGGCTCACTGTGCTAAGCCCTGCTCACAGCTGGGCGGGCACGCTGCCCGCGCTGTGCCGGCTCCTCAGGCCGATGGTGCAGAGGCGCCGGCCCCCGATGCAGAGCTGGCCCCGCCACGGGCACGGCGCTGCCGACAGCAACCGCGGCTCTGCAGAGGGAACGGGACAGGGGAGAGGAGAGAACAGACCATGGGGAAAGCCAAAAAGCACAAACCCAAAGCTAAAATCCAAACCCCGCAACCTCAAACCCAAAAACCCCCAAAACCCCAAACACAACCAGAACCCCAAACCCAAAAACCACAACCCCAAAAACCCCCAAACCTAAAACCCACAACCACAGCCCCAAAAACCACAACCTCAAAAACCACAGACTCAATCCCAAAAAACCCCAAACCCAAATCCAAAACTGCCAACCCCGAAAACCCCAACCCCAAACACCCCACACCCAAAAAACCACAACCCCAAAAACCCCACGCTCAAAAAACCCCAACCCGAAAAATCACAACCCCAAACCCAAAAACCCCAAACCCAAACACCCAGAAACCCCAGAAGTTCTTACCTTGGTGGTTCCGCTCCACTCTGGAGAGAGACATCAATAAAAAAAGAAAATATTCAGAGATGGAGAAAGGAATAAAAGGAATTTTAGGGAAAGGATAAAAGGGAATATTTAGAAATGGGAAACGGAATAAAAGGAAAATATTCAGAGATGGGAAAAGAGGGAATAAAAAGAGTATTAGAGATGGGAAAAGCATAAAAGGGAATTTTAGAGATGGAAAAAAAGCATTTTAGAGATGGAAAAAGGAATAAAAGGAATATTTAGGTATGGGAAAAGGAATAAAAGGAGTATTCAGAGATGGGAAAAGAAGGAAGAAAAGGAATTTTAGAGATGGGAAAAGCATAAAAGGGAATACTTAGATATGGGAAAAGGATAAAGAGAACATTAGTGATGGGAAAAGGAGTATTAGAGATGGGAAAAGAGGGAAAAAAAGGAAAATTGATCCAGAGATGGGAAAATTATAAAAAGAAATATTTAGATTGTAAAAGGAAGAAAAGGAATACCTAGAGATGGAAAAAGGACAAAAGGAATTTTAGAGATGGGAAAAGAGGGAAGAAAAGAAAAATATTCAGACATGAGAAAAGAACAAAAAGGAATTGCAGAGATGGATAAAGAATAAAAAGGAATTTAGATGGGGAAAAGGATAAAAGGGATTCCAGGGATGGGAGGGGACAGAGAAGGGCCGTGCAGGCTCCTTACGGGCGGTGCGGGGCCGGCGCGGGCATCTCCCGGGGCGCGCGGTACTGGCAGGACAGCAGCACGTACGGACACACCTGGCGGGGCCGCTCGGCCGCTCCCGCCCCGCTCACCTCGTACACGTAGTACTGGGGAGAGAACGGGAGACAGCCGTGGGGGACTGGGGATAACCCATGGGGGATAATCCATGGGATACTGGGGATAATGCATGGGGAATGGGAATTCACCCTGCTCACCTCGTACACATAGTACTGGGGAGAGAACGGGAGACAGCCGTGGGGGACTGGGGATAACCCATGGGGGATAATCCATGGGATACTGGGGATAATGCATGGGGAATGGGAATTCACCCTGCTCACCTCGTACACATAGTACTGGGGAGAGAACGGGAGACAGCCGTGGGGGACTGGGGATAACCCATGGGGGATAATCCATGGGATACTGGGGATAATGCATGGGGAATGGGAATTCACCCTGCTCACCTCGTACACATAGTACTGGGGAGAGAACGGGAGACAGCCGTGGGGGACTGGGGATAACCCATGGGGGATAATCCATGGGATACTGGGGATAATGCATGGGGAATGGGAATTCACCCTGCTCAACTCGTACACATAGTACTGGGGAGAGAATGGGAAACACCCATGGGATACTGGGGATAACCCATGGGGAATGGGGATAATCCATGGGGAACGGGGATCATCCATGGAGAATAATCCATGGGATACTGGGGATAATCCATGGGAACGGGGAATTCAACCCGCTCAACTCGTACACGTAGTACTGGGGAGAGAACGGGAGACAGCCGTGGGGTACTGGGGATAACCCATGGGGGATAATCCATGGGATACTGGGGATAATCCATGGGGAATGGGAATTCACCCCGCTCAACTCGTACACGTAGTACTGGGGAGAGAACGGGAGACAGCCGTGGGGTACTGGGAATAACCCATGGGGAATGGGGATTCACCCCACTCAACTTGTACATGTAGTACTGGGGAGAGAATGGGAAACACCCGTGGGATACTGGGAATAATCCACAGGGGATAATCCATGGGATACTGGGGATAATCCATGGGATACTGGCAATTCACCCTGTTCAACTTGTACACGTAGTACTGGGGAGAGAATGGGAAACAGCTGTGGGATACTGGGAATAATCCATGGGAACTGGGAATAATCCATGGGGAACTGGGATCATCCATGGGGAATAATCCAGGGGATACTGGGAATAACCCATGGGAACTGGGAATTCACCCCACTCAATTCGTACACGTAGTACTGGGGAAACACAGGGAAACATCACAGAGAATAGGAATAATCCATGGGGAATGGGGAATAACCCATGGGGAACAGGGAATAACCCATGGGGAATGGGGATAATCCATGGGGAACGGGGATAACCCATGGGGAATGGGGATAATCCATGGGGAATGGGGATAATCCATTGGGAACGGGGAATAACCCATGGGGAACGGGGATAACCCATGGGATACCAGGAATCATCCATGGGAACTGGGAACCATCCATGGGATACTGGGAAAAATCCAAGGGGAACGGGAATCATCCATGGGAACTGGGAATAATCCACGGGAACTGGGAATTCACCCCGCTCACCTCATACATGTAGTACTGGGGAAACACAGGGAAACATCCATGGGATATTAGGGATACATGGGAAACGGGGAATAATCCATGGGAAACGGGGAAATCCATGGAATGTGGGACTGGGAAAAGGGAAACCCATGGGGAAAAGGGAAATCCATGGAATGTGGGACTGGGAAAAGGGAAATCCATGGGAAAAAGGGAAATCCATGGAATGTGGGACTGGGAAAAGGGAAACCCATGGGGAAAAGGGAAATCCATGGAATGTGGGACTGGGAAAAGGGAAACCCATGGGGAAAAGGGAAATCCATGGAATGTGGGACTGGGAAAAGGGAAATCCATGGGGAAAAGGGAAATCCATGGAATGTGGGACTGGGAAAAGGGAAATCCATGGGGAAAAGGGAAATCCATGGAATGTGGGACTGGGAACAGAGAAACCCATGGGGAAAAGCGAAATCCATGGAATGTGGGACTGGGAAAAGAGAAACCCATGGGGAAAAGCGAAATCCATGGAATGGGGGACTGGGAAAAGGGAAATCCATGGGGAAAAGGGAAATCCATGGAATGTGGGACTGGGAAAAGGGAAATCCATGGGGAAAAGGGAAATCCATGGAATGTGGGACTGGGAAAAGGGAAATCCATGGGAAAAAGGGAAATCCATGGGATGTGGGACTGGGAAAAGGGCAATCCTGGAGTACCTGGCTGCTCCCGCTGGACACGTGGCAGTCGTAGCCGGGCGAGGGGCAGGTGGAGCTGCTGGGGGAGCTCTCAGGGATGGCTCTGACCTTGCCCTGCAGCAAAAACACATCCCAAGCATGGAAATCCATGGAATCCTTCCCAAAAATCCATCCCAAGGATGGAAATCCGAGGAAATAGTCCCAAGGATGTGTTTTGTTCCCCATGTTGGAAGAGCAGGGTGAGGGCGGTGTGGTTGTGGTGTTCCAAAAATTCAGGTGGGTTTGGGGTGGGAAGAGCCAGGGTCAGGAGTGGGGTTTGGCATCAGCTCCAGACAGGAGGAATGGGAAAAAAAAAAAAATTAAACCTCCCAAAATTCCTGAGAATCCAAGGAAACATTGGAGTTTGGAGTTTGATTTTCCATCCCACCAAAATTATGGGCAGCAAAATCTCAAAGTTCAAATTGCAAAGAGAAATTTCCAGTGTGAAGAGTTTGGGTTTGGAATCAACTCCAGACAGCAGGAAGGGGAAAAACCCTTGAAAATTCCCAAAATTTCTGAAATTCCAAGGAAAAACTGGATTCTGGACCTTGATTTATAGGCAATTAAAAATTTGGGGTTTACCTTGATGAGCTTACAGATGACAATAAATCCTGATTTTCCCTGGTGCCAAGGGCTGGGATGGAGACAGTCAGAATATTTGGAAATATAAACCCCTGGAAAACAACAAAAAAAAGGGAATTATTTGTCAGCAGGGAAAGATATTCCCAAAAATCTCTGTAAAGAGCCAGAAAAATGGGGGAATTCTGGAATATTCCCAGGAAATCAGTTATTGGGTGATAAAGGGTGTTAATGTTCCCAGAAAATGAGAAATATTCCAAGAAAAATAAGAAATATTGCCAGAAAACCTGTTCTGGGGTGATAAAAGCAATTCATATTCCCAGAAAATGAAGAGCTGAAGGAATGTTGCCATTCCCTGGGAAAAATCCCATCCTCAGCTGGCTGAAAGATCAGAAAGAAGGGAATTTTCCAGGGATTTCTGCAGTAAAACCCAGGAATTTTGAGCTTTTGCCTTGGCTTTGGAAGGAGTTTATTCCCTAAATGGGAATTTGGAAAGGGTTTCATTCCCAGAGTGGGAATTTGAAGTTTTGAAAGAGTTTTATTCCCAGAATGGGAATTTGGAAAGAATTTTATTCCCAGAATGGGAATTTGGGAGGAATTTGGAAGGAATTTTATTTCCAGAGTGGGAATTTGGAAGGAATTTTATTCCCAGAATGCGAATCTGGAAGGAATTTCATTCCCAGAGTGGGAATTTGGAAGGAATTTTGAAGGAGTTTCATTCCCAGAGTGGGAATTTGAAAGGAATTTCATTCCCAGAGTGGGAATTTGGAAGGAATTTTGAAGGAGTTTCATTCCCAGAGTGGGAATTTGAAAGGAATTTCATTCCCAGAGTGGGAATTTGAAGGAATTTGGAAGGAGTTTCATTCCAGAGTGGGAATTTCCTTTCCAGGTGGGATTTTACCTTTGGCAGGGTCCCCCAGGGTGGAGATGTTGCTGCTGTTGACACGGAGCCCGCTCCGACACACCCGCTGGGCCTGCAAGGGAACAGGAAAATTCCTCTTTTTCCACCTTTTTTTTCCAGGATTTACTTCCAGGAAATGAGAAATGTTCCCAGGAAATCAGTTATTGGGTGATAAAGGGTGTTCATATTCCCAGGAAATGAGAAATTCCAAGTAATTGCAAGTAATCCCAAATAATGCCAAATAATTAAAAAATATTGCAGTGGCACAAAGGAAAATTCCTTTTTCTCCAATCAAATCCATCCCTAAAACCCTACAGGAGCCAAAGAATTCCAAATATTTCCAAATAATTGCAAATAATCCGAAAGAATCCCAAAGAATTCCAAGGAATCCCAAAGAATTCCATTTAATTCCAGTGGCACCAAAGAAAATTCCTTTTTCTCCAATCAGATCCATCCCTAAAACACCCCAGGAGCCAAAGAATCCCAAAGAACCCCAAATAATTCCAAATAATTTCAATAAGAATTCCAATAAGAATTCCACATAATTCCAAATAATCCCAAAAATCCCAAATATTCACAAAGAATCCCAGAGGCACCAAGGAAAATTCCTTTTTCTCCAACCAGATCTACTCCTAAAACCCCTGAGGAGCCAAATAAATCATGCCAAATAACTGTAAATAATCCCAAATATTTCCAAAGAATTCCAAATAATCCTAAACAATCCCACTGGCAGCAAGGAAAATTCCCTTTTCTCCCATCAGAGCCATCCCAAACCCCCCCAGGAGCTGCTCCCAGAGCTTTTCCCAGCAGGAATTCCCCTGGGAACTGCCCCACCAGATCTCCTGGGTGTGATGAGACAAAAAGCAGGGATTTGATCCCAAATTTCCATGGAAATCCCATTCCAGGTTACCTCCTCCTCCTTGTCAAAGCGCAGGAATGCAAAGGTCTCCTGCAGCTCCTCCTGGCTGTATCCTGCAGCTGCCTTGGCTCGGGCAAAAGCTCGGAGCTGGAAAAAAAATCCCAACATTTTTGGTCTCAGGTGATGCTGATCCCAGAAAAAAAAATTGTTTTCCCACTTTTTTTTTTTCAGGATTAGGGGAAAAAAGTAATCTGGCCCAGCACAGCTGGAAAAACACCTGGATGTGGTTTAATTCCTGAGCCTTAAAATAATTAAAAAAATTGAGGTGAGGAAAATGAAACACAATAGCAACAGGAAAAATCAGCAGTGGGAATGGGATGAAGGGATTTGGAAATGGGAATGAAAGGATTGGGAAAATGAGAATCTGGGGATTTGAAAAATGGGAATGAAGGGATTTGAAAAGTGGGAATGGGATGAAGAGATCTAAAAATGGGAATGTGGGATTTGGAAAGTGGGAATGGGATAAAGGAATTTGGAAAGTGGGAATGTGAGATTTGGAAAGGGGGAATGAAGGGATTTGAAAAGTGGGAATGTGGGAATTTTGAAAATGGGAATGTGGAGATTTTGAAAATGGGAATGTGGAGATTTTGAAAGTGGGAATGTGGAGATTTGAAAAGTGGGAATGTGGGAATTTTGAAAGTGGGAATGTGGGAATTTTGAAAGTGGGAATGTGGGAATTTTGAAAGTGGGAATGTGGGAATTTTGAAAATGGGAATGTGGAGATTTTGAAAGTGGGAACGTGGAGATTTTGAAAGTGGGAATGTGACGACTTTAGAAGTGGGAATGAAGTGATTAGAAAAGTGGGAATGAAGGGATTTCAAAAGTGGGAATGAAGGGATTTTTTAAAATCCAGCCAGCTGGGAAAAATAAAGTTAAAAGGAAAAAAGAAAGGTGGAGACAGAGACATCCCAAAAATCTGCCTTGAGGTCAACTCAACAGAAAGCAGCCCATGGAAGGGAATTCTCCCAGCTCCAAAGGAATTTTGGAATTCCCAAGGCTCCAGGAATTGTGAGCACCATTGGCTGCATGGATTGTTTATTCCTGATGGAGATGGAAGTGCAAGGAAGGCAAAAAAAAAGTTGGGAATTTCAAGAGGGAAATGAAACAGAGCTGGCAATAAATCAGCATTCCCAGAGGTGTGCAGCTCCCAAAAAATCCCATTTTTGCTGGGATTGCAGGCTCACCTCACTCAGGAAAAGCTCATTTTCCACCAGGATGGCTCTGCTGTACTGGAAGCCGCGGTGGGAGCAGGAGTGCAGCGAGGAGCTCTGCAGCAGCGCCACGGCCCGCTGCAGCAGGGAGCAGCCCTGCTCCTCGGGATCCAGGGGGAATCCTGATAAACAGGGAATGTTCTAGGTGGGAATGCTGCAGCAGGGAGCAGCCCTGCTCCTCGGGATCCAGGGGGAATCCTGGGAAAACATGGAATGTTGCAGCTGGGAATTGCCAGATTGGCTCCTCAGGATCCAACAGGGAATGTTCCAGCTGGGAATTGCCAGATTGGCTCCTCAGGATCCAACAGGGAATGTTCCAGCTGGGAATTGCCAGATTGGCTCCTCAGGATCCAACAGGGAATGTTCCAGCTGGGAATTGCCAGATTGGCTCCTCAGGATCCAACAGGGAATGTTCCAGCTGGGAATTGCCAGATTGGCTCCTCAGGATCCAACAGGGAATGTTCCAGCTGGGAATTGCCAGATTGGCTCCTCAGGATCCAACAGGGAATGTTCCAGCTGGGAATTGCCAGATTGGCTCCTCAGGATCCAACAGGGAATGTTCCAGCTGGGAATTGCCAGATTGGCTCCTCAGGATCCAACAGGGAATGTTCCAGCTGGGAATTGCCAGATTGGCTCCTCAGGATCCAACAGGGAATGTTCCAGCTGGGAATTGCCAGATTGGCTCCTCAGGATCCAACAGGGAATGTTCCAGCTGGGAATTGCCAGATTGGCTCCTCAGGATCCAACAGGGAATGTTCCAGCTGGGAATTGCCAGATTGGCTCCTCAGGATCCAACAGGGAATGTTCCAGCTGGGAATTGCCAGATTGGCTCCTCAGGATCCAACAGGGAATGTTCCAGCTGGGAATTGCCAGATTGGCTCCTCAGGATCCAACAGGGAATGTTCCAGCTGGGAATTGCCAGATTGGCTCCTCAGGATCCAACAGGGAATGTTCCAGCTGGGAATTGCCAGATTGGCTCCTCAGGATCCAACAGGGAATGTTCCAGCTGGGAATTGCCAGATTGGCTCCTCAGGATCCAACAGGGAATGTTCCAGCTGGGAATTGCCAGATTGGCTCCTCAGGATCCAACAGGGAATGTTCCAGCTGGGAATTGCCAGATTGGCTCCTCAGGATCCAACAGGGAATGTTCCAGCTGGGAATTGCCAGATTGGCTCCTCAGGATCCAACAGGGAATGTTCCAGCTGGGAATTGCCAGATTGGCTCCTCAGGATCCAACAGGGAATGTTCCAGCTGGGAATTGCCAGATTGGCTCCTCAGGATCCAACAGGGAATGTTCCAGCTGGGAATTGCCAGATTGGCTCCTCAGGATCCAACAGGGAATGTTCCAGCTGGGAATTGCCAGATTGGCTCCTCAGGATCCAACAGGGAATGTTCCAGCTGGGAATTGCCAGATTGGCTCCTCAGGATCCAGGGGAACCCTGGGAAAACAGGGAATATTCTGGCTGGGAATTGCCAGATTGGCTCCTCAGGATCCAGGGCGAATCCTGGAAAACAGGGAATATTCTGGCTGGGAATTGCCAGATTGGCTCCTCAGGATCCAGGGCCTCCTGGGAAAACAGGGAATATTCCAGCTGGGAATTGCCAGATCAATGCAGGGATTCAGAATGGAAAAAAGGGGAAACATTCCAGGTGGGAATTGCTGCAACAGGGAACTCTGCTCCTGGAGATCCAAGGGGAATTCTGGGGAAAAACAGGGAAATATTCCAGGTGGGAATTCCCAGATCAATGTCAATGTCAATGTCAAGATTCTGGATGGGGTGTGAAAGAAAAAAGGGAAATATTCCAGCTGGGAATTGCCAGATTGGCTCCTAGGATCCAGGGGGAATCCTGGGAAAACAGGGAATATTCCAGCTGGGAATTGTCAGATCAGTGTGGGGATTCAGGATGGGGTGTGCAAGAAAAAAAGGAAATATTCCAGGTAAAAATTGCTGCAACAGGGAACTCTGCTCCTCAAGATCCATGGGGAATCCTGAGGGAAAAATTCCAGGTGGGAATTGCCAGATCTGTGGGTGGATTTGGGATGGGGTAGTGCCTCCAAATTCCAGATTTCTGGCAGTTAAAACAATTTTTGGAAAGAGGGATCTGAGCTCCTGGTTCATCCCAAAAAAAATCTGTAGCAGCTGCCAGAAGGGAAATAATTTATAAATCCAGATATTAATATTAAATTAGAAATGTATAAAAGTATAAATATAAAAATAAATTATTATTAATAAATATTTATATAGTTATTACATTTATTGTTATATCATTATATATATTAATAGTAATAAATAATATATCTTGTCATGTGTTTTACATACAATATACATAATTTATTAATATATCATTTATAATTAACTATGAATAAATTTTAATTAATTACAAATTGATTTAGTATAAGCTAATTTATACATCTACAGTTTATAAATTAACTTTATGCATGAGATTCCAAATCCCAAACTCAGTTTGATCCCTGTTTTTAAGGGCAAGTCTGAATAATTTTTGCCTTTTCCATTTAAAAAAATGAAGATCAAATCATTCCTTGTGTCTATTTTTATTTCTCTCCAATTATTCCAGGAGGAAAAAAAAAAGGATTAATTTAAGGAATGGAGGAAGAGAAGGGGAAAGGGAAAAAATCCAGATGTGGGAAAAACGTGGAGGGATCTAAAAATGATCCAAGAATCCCAAAATGATCCTAGAAAAACACAGCAGGTGAGGATGGAAATTTGAAGGAAAGTCTTTAAAGAAGATTTTTCTGCTTTAAACCTTTTTTTGGATATTTTGTGCCTTTGCAAATTCACTTTTTACACTGCCTGCTTTTCGGTGCTGCCTCTGGAATCCTTGGAATTAGGGGGAAAAAAGCAGATTAAGAGCAGAAAAATGGGAAATCAAGGGATTTTCCAGCTTTTTTTTTTTTCAGCAGCAGTCTTTCAGTCTCTGGGCCTAATGAGAAAAGTTCAATTTTGCTAATTTTTCTTGCATTTTTCTTCCTGTGTTTCCTGCATCCTTAAGGAATCATCCAGAAAATTTAAAATTTAAATCAAATTAAAAATTTTAAATTTCATGGAATTTTAAATCCCAGCTCAGCTCAAAGGATGCAACACAACCTCTTTTTTTTTAAATTCTTTTTGCTGGAGCACCACAACTTATTTTGGAAAACATCAGATATTTTCAGGGATAAAAGTTTAAAAAAAGTATGGAAAACTCTTGGGAATACAACAAAAAATCCAGGAATTTTGCAGGTGATCGCTCCAATATTTTTTTTCAAAATGAAAATCCAGAAAGGGGAAAAAATAATTTAAAAAGAAATTTATTAATTAATTAATGAGAGGAAACTGAGCCCAAGTGGCTGCACCCCTCAATTCCCTCCTGGATTTTGGGAAGATGTATCCCAACCCTAAGGAAAAAAAAATTCCCAGGAAAAAAATCCCAAATTCTGGCACATCCCAGGGCAGGAGCAGAAGGTGAAAGTGAAAGTGGCCACGGCAAAAGGGAAAGTGAAAGTGAGAAACTTGGGAATGGCACCGGATGCACGGGGGAAAATTTGGGAATGAGAAACTTGGGAATGGCACTGGATCCATGGGGGGAAATTTGGGAATGAGAAACTTGGGAATGGCAGTGGATCCATGGGGGGAAACTTGGGAATGGGAAACTTGGGAATGGCACTGGATCCATGGGGGGAAACTTGGGAATGGCACCGGATGCACGGGGGAAAATTTGGGAATGAGAAACTTGGGAATGGCAGTGGATCCATGGGGCAAAACCTGGGAATGGGAAACTTGGGAATGGCACTGGACCCATGGGGGGAAACTTGGGAATGGCACCGGATCCACGGGGGGAAATTTGGGAATGAGAAACTTGGGAATGGCAGTGGATCCATGGGGCAAAACCTGGGAATGGGAAACTTGGGAATGGGAAATGTGGGAATGGCACTGGATCCATGAAGAGAAACTTGGGAATGGCACTGGATCCATGGAGAGAAACTTGGGAAATGGGAAACTTGGGAATGGCACTGGATCCAATGGGGTGAAACTTGGGAATGGGAAATGTGGGAATGGCACTGGATCCATGAGGGGAAATTTGGGAATGGGAAACTTGGGAATGGCACTGGATCCATGGAGAGAAACTTGGGAATGGGAAACTTGGGAATGGCAGTGGATCCATGGAGAGAAACTTGGGAATGGCAGTGGATCCATGGGGGGAAACTTGGGAATGGGAAATGTGGGAATGGCAGTGGATCCATGGGGGGAAACTTGGGAATGGCACTGGATCCAATGGGGTGAAACTTGGGAATGGGAAACTTGGGAATGGCACAGGATGCATGGAGAGAAACTTGGGAATGAGAAACTTGGGAATGGCACTCGATCCATGGGGGAAAACCCCAGGAAGGAGAAACTTGGGAATGGCACCAGATCCATGGGGCAAACTCTGGGAATGGTACCGGTTCCCTTGGGAAAAACTTGGGAAACAAGAAACTTGGGAATGGCACTGAGGGAAGGACAAACTTGGGAATGGCACCAGATCCACTGGGAAACTCTGGGAATGAGAAACTTGGGAATGGCACCGGATCCATGGGGCACACTCCAGGAATGGGATCAGACAGCAGGGATGGCACAGGACTGGAAGATCCAGAGGGGATTGATGATCCCTGCCCTGAAATCCTTGGGAATTCCCAGCTGGCCCTGGTGAATTGCCACCCTTGCAGCACAGAATTCAAGCTCCTGCAGCTCCCAAAATCAGCTCCAATCCAGGGAATGCTGTGCTTTCCCTCCCTGCTGTGCACAAACCATCCTCCAAGCAGTGATGGAATTCCTTGGAATTCTGCTGATCTGCTGCTCCCTCTCCTGGGCAGGACAAGCAGAACAAAGATTTCTGGGATGGAATCCAACCATTCCCAGCACTGCCAGGGCCACCCATGTCCCCAGGTGCCACATGCACAGGGCTTTAAATCCCCCCGGGAATGGGGAATCCATCCCTGCCCTGACCTCCTTTTCCACTGAGGAATGTTCCCTAAAATCCAATCCAAACCTCCCCTGGCACAGCTGAGGCTGTGCACTTCCAAAATGCAGGATTTGCCTTTGGCTCATCCCGTTTTTCTGGGATCTCTGGATGGTCTCAGCAC